GGATGGATGACGGTTGATGGATGGTTGATGGATGGATGATGGATGGATGGATGATGGATGGATGATGGATGGATGATGGACAGACAGACATTTTAATCAATCACAGATCTGTACCAGACTCCCAGGGAGATGCCCTCCTCAGGTGTCAGGTACAGGTTGATCGTGTGGTTCTGGGAGAAATCTTCAGGTCGGCTCAGGTCCATGAAGAAGGGCACCCTGACTGAACACAGGACGTTTGTTTGTTTGTTTGTTTGTTTGTTTGTTTGTTTGTTTGTTTGTTTGTTTGTTTGTTGTCAGACTGGGTTTACAGGACATGTGTACATGGTTACCTCTGTAAACAAAAATATAATGCTGGATTAAATCTGGTAACCAGAACACAGCGACCGGCACCAGAACACACACAGCAGCAGCCAGCAGAGCCCACCTGACCCAGGGGCGGGACCTGAACACAGACAGACACAAACTTGTCGTTTGGACATTTTCAGCAGATTATAAAACGTATCATGTGAATCAAAGCAGAGGACTCGTGTCAGGAAGTCTGCCCTCCTCCAGGTAACTCCATTAAAGTGATTCCAGCAGACGCAGGAGGAGAGGCCCACACATCACTATCGATTACTTCCTAACTAGAAGGTCATTTGAAGAGAGCAGGCCTCTGCCAAGTCCAATAATGTCTCTCAGAAACTGAACTATGGTCTGACTGGGCCCAGCATTTAACGAGCTCCTCCTGCCAATGTTTGACTTCCCTGCCAAGTGGAGCTGGGAGCGACACTTTTTACACACTCACAACAAATTACAAKAAATAACCAACAGCAGGGACATTATTACTGTGTGAGCCTTCAAACTGACACAAACAGGAAGTGAACGGACGACTTTACCAACTGATGGCAGCATCTGTGCAGCGGTGCTAACAGCTAACAAAAACGTTAGCTTCACTAACCACTAAACAAGAATCTTAGCTCTGCTAATGCTAAACACATAAAACATTAGTGGAAGCTAACGCTAACCGCTAGTGGAACTGACAYACCTGTTAGTTTTCTATTGGTTTAATTTGGAGGTGGGCGGGATCATCTGTAGAAAATCGGCCAATACAAACCAGTTACAGCTCTGTTTAACTTCAAACTGTTATAATAATATTTTCTTTGGCAAAATGTTTTATTCATAAACTGTCCAGATTACCTCCAGTCTTAATTAAACCAATAATATCTGAAATCTCTGAAATATATTTAAGCATGTATGAAATGTTAATAAAAATTAACTACAGACGCAATATCCTTCCTGTTGTAATTCTTGTTTTATAAATGTATTTTTGTGTTTAGTGTTCTCATTTCTAAGTATGTAAGTAAGTATGCCTCTATTACATCTGCTATAGTTAAACAAATATAAATTGTCATACTTGTTTGTACATTTGTTAAATAAAGTAAAAAATGATTTCAAGTCTACCCTTTCAGAATAAAAGCATTCCTTTGATCAAGTTTGTATTTCATAAATATCATTTGAAGTTAGCCAAACAACAAATAGCAATTTTCACTACCATACTTTAAATATTGTCAGTTTTTGTTTATTTTCTTTATTTTTGTCGCTCTTAATTTGAAGTTTAGCCACTAAAGATGCTACATGCTAACACACGTTGCCTGAAACGTACAGCACTGCTTGTAGGGGGGATAGTTTTTATTTAATTTGGAATTAATTATATAAAATTAGAAGTTTTACACTTGAATTTTTTGGCCAACTTAAAAGTTAGTCTGTTTAGTTTCTAAAGYTAGCAAAAAGCTAATCCCTTATTAGCAAATAAGCGTAAGCTGGCAGGTTTCTGTGTCACTTATTGCAACTTGGTGGATCAGTGGACAGAGCAGCAGGTGATCCTCCTCAAAGAAATGTTCGGCCGATCATTTAATCTGGATTAAAATTTAAGTTTGGTTAAAGTAAATAAAAAATACTTTTTGTTTCAGGTTATTAGGTCAGTGAGGTAAAACATCTGCAGTATTTCTGTTTGGGCAAATGAATGATTTCTGTCAATCAATAACCAAGTGGCAGATTTTGTTGGACCACATTTTTTATATAAACAGACTCATTAGAACCACAAACATATCTGCTGCAGCAAAAACTCATCATTACTCCAAAAGAGTACAAATACATATTTAYTCCTAAGAAGCCAATATTCCTGTCAGTATTTATCAGAAGATTTAAATAAGCCACTGAGGAGCTGCTGTCAAAATTTAACACTATAGCCTCATATTGCTCATGCTAAAAATAAAAACAGGCATTACTACTACTACTACTACTACTACTACTACTACAACTACTACTCACTACAGTACTTGAGTAGCTTTACAGCTTTATTTTTAATAATAACTAATTTATAAAAAAAATTGATTTGCATATTTTAAAGCCTGATGCAGAGCCTAATTTAACTCCAGTTAGCATTAGCTTAGCAACACGTATTAAAGTATAGTTAGCATTAGCTTAATTAGCTTGGCAACATAATACAATAATTCAGGTGATAACTCACGGTGCCCCCTGTTTCTTCGCAGTCCTCCGGGTCTCTCTGCCATCAAAGGACGGATTACTTTGTTTCACGACTCTCCTCTTCATGGTTTCACGTCCATAAACTTCACAACTAGGAGACGCTTCAGAATAACATCAACCAGTTTGAACTTTGGTCTGAACTTCGATTAAACTTCACGCTAAACTCCGGCAGAGGGAGGCGCCGCTTCTTTTAAGGTGGCACAGTTCAACCGTTGTTCATCTGCGGGCACTGGAAGCGCTACAGACGGCGCGACCTTAAATAGCAGTCCTCGACAGATAAGAAGCTTGAAACTTTATTACAGCCTTTTACCTGGAATACTGTTCATTGTTTAAATGCTGAGTCAGCATCTGTTTGATTCTGTAGACTTTATGTAYACTCTTAGCTACATATTCACATATCAAAATGTTGGGCCTATGAAGCAAGTCTTTTGCTACTTTTAGCTGTCGTTTTGCTACTTTTACATTTTAGTTACAACTTTAAGCATCTAGCAAGCTTTCTGATACTTTTAGCTAGCCATTTTAGCTACCCATTTTTCATATTTTACCCAGTGTTTGCATCTAAGCTAGATGTTTTGTTATTTTTAGCTAAAATTTTGCTATTTTTAGCATTTCAATTACTTTTAGTATTTCACTGGCTTATTGGATTTTGTTAGCTTCTAGCTAGCTTTCTGGTTCTTTTAGCCAGCCATTAAATTTAGCTATTACCCCTTTTGCTATCTTAGCTTTTTGCTTGATTTTTATTAAATTTTATCTATCATTAACCGTTTTTACCACCTTTTTAGTACTTTTAGCATCCACTTAGCCTTTTTGTTACTTTTAGCTGGTATATAGCTTTTAGGTACTTTCTCTACTTTTAGCTTTCAGCTAGCTTTTTACTAATTTCTGTGTATCTTTTTGCAAGTTTTAGCTAGCAATTAGCTTCTTTTGGCTTTTCGTTACTGTTCTGCTCCTTTTAGCTACAACTCGTGTAATTTCTTTAGCTGAAAGATTTCTGTTAAAGCCCTGATTCAGCTGCAAAAATAACTTGACATCAGAATTTGATTTATTATTTTATGAAACGTTGAAGCAACAATCAATTCTTACTAAATRATTTTTATTCTGCTTCTTTTATTTTGGTAACAGAACAAAAATCACTAAATACATTAAAGTGGAAATAAAATATATTTAGAATTTAGTGGTAAAATAAAGTACTTCATTTTGAATGTAAAAACAACATTTTGTGTTTTAAACGTTGTTAAAAATCATTTCTTTTAAGAACAACAGATTTAAATTTCAGACATCAAATCAAAGCATAAAAAATATTACAAATATTAATAAAATGTACAAATTAAAGGATATTATCGTACAAAGTACTGAATATTTATGTTTCTACTGGTTAATTTTTGGAGTCAGCATGATTCAAGATGGCCGCCTGAGGCCCCCCAGGATAAATCAGGAGGGGGTCTCAGGCTGAACGAGGGAACCGACAGACAGAACCCGGGCTGCAGCAGAACCTTCAGAGCTGTGATGGTTCAGGTAAACACCGAACGTCACCTGAAACAAACAAACAAACAAATGAAGGGGTTTGTTTATTTTGTGGGCGTCGCCCACCTTCTGACTAGGGCTGTGTATTGGCAAGAATTTGGTGATACGATACATATCATAACAGAGGGGTCACGATACGATACATATCATGACAGAGGGGTCACGATACGATATATCCCGATATATTGCGATAATGTAAGCAAGGCGATATAT